CCCCCCCAGCTCATCCATGGAGATTCCTGGCAGATGCTCACCCTCATTAGGAGAAAATGGTCTTTTCTGGATATTACCACCAGTCGAGGCCTTAGGAAGATTTCTGAACTCAATTATGAAAATGACAAGCACTCCACAGTTCCTGTATGTTAACTAATGTGCTTCCAAACCACACCTGTGCTCAGGAGCTGTTGTCGGGACCCCTGCTGGGTAATAGGGCCCTTCCACCCCTTGCCTGGTGTGGTACCAGCTCCCGCAGCTCCTGAAGCACAGTTGTTGGCGCTGGTGCACGGAGACATTTTGCTCCTTGGGAAGTGGCTGCTCCTTAATTTGAATACTTATACTCTCACTAATTTCTTTGGGAGTTCTTGAAACTGAGTTTTAAAATACACACCGAGAATTTGGGACTAGGCCGTAACAGGCAGAAATAGGTTTGGTAAATGAAATTAACTCAATGTAAATATCACCTTCTTGTCACCCAGGAGGCCAAGTTCTTCCTGAAGTGCAAAGCCTTATCATTTGCATCTGGGCGGAGTGATCCGTGTTTCCAGTGAACAGTGAAGTCTCCTTCTCCATAGGTGGAGTGGTAAAACAAGGCGTTGTTTTTCTTCCGGCTTTAGGGGTCAGGCACCGTCGGAAGCCGAGCTGAATTACCTGCGGATTGCCAAATCCCTGGAGATGTACGGTGTTGACCTCCATCCTGTCTACGTGAGTAACATTTAATTAACACAAAATATTTTAAGCGGATGACATTTTTGTTAAAAAGTCAGAGGGAGTCCCTGAGGGAAGCTGCAGTCCTCTCGTTCAGCAGGCAGGCGATGCCTCCTCCTGTGCTTTTCAAACCCAGAGCAGCTCTTACAAGGATTAAACCCTAATGAGTTTTGCATGAAAGTCCGTGATCTTATTTCCATGTGTAGAAAACAATTCACTGGGCTTGCAAACACAGTCTGGATTACAGCTCCAAAGGGCTTAGCTAAATGTCAAGACAGTTTAAAAAAATCAGTCTGTAATTGATGATATCAGGCAGAAAATGGGAAGATTTTTCTAAAAATGGATTTTTATGGCAGAAAAACAAAGTTTTTGCCAGGTAAAGTGGGTGTTGGACAACAGTCCCGGTGCAGGGGTTGGTGGATCTAGGTTGTGTCGACAGGAGAGTGACTGAGCGGATAGAAATAGTTCTGTGAGTTTTCTTCAGTGGCTGTGGAAACCTGCCAGTGAGTACGCATCAGGCCTGTATCAAGGGTTCTAGAGCCAGGCCCTCCCCCCCGACATTTCTCTTTGACTATGGCTGCCCTACTTTCGCTCCTGCATTCATTTTCTAGCATGTCTGTAGCTCATTAGTGTTTTCTAAGACAAGAGAGTACGCTGCTTATTAATTCAGTTAGTCATTCAGGGTCTTGCTGTGTAGCCCATACCGGCTCCAGCTTCTCTTGTCTGTGCCTGTGGCATGCTGGGATTCGGGGCCTGTGCCATTGTTCCTGATTCATATTTCCTTTAGAGTTAGAAACATTCTCCACTGCACATTAGCGTGTCAGTGGAGGTTACAGAAGTTCCCTGATCATAGATACCGGGCTCACTGGAGAATGACAGGCTCCCCACTTTAAGGGTACCTCTGAGATCTGGGTAGCAGAGTCCTGTAATGGCGTCACCATAGTCCCAGGTGGATGCAGGACCCTCCCAACCTTTAAGAGCAGCCTGGACTGCGTAGTGAGCAATGAAAGAAGGGAAGAGAGAAGGACGAATCTTACAGACTCCATGAAGTAGTTGCCTTCTCCCCTGCCGCCCCTGCTAATCTTGGTAGGTTTGTGGGTGTTTAAAAAAAGACACCTCCTGGGAACTCTGTAGAGGCTTCTGCAAAATGCTGTGATGTTTGTCTTGATTCATAATCAAGTTTTTCAGCTTTGGAGAGTGGTAGGGTTGAGAACCTAGAGGAGACAACCAAGAGATGTTAGGCCTTCCTTCCCTCTGAGGAGGAGTTTCTAGAGATGAAAGTTGGCAGTGAATGGATCTTTCCAGAACGGTTGTCTTCTGCTCACAGGCCATTCAGTGGACAGCTCTGTGTAAGTCCTTGGTACCCACGTGGACTGTGGCTCTGTCACTTGGGGTCCTGTCTTATTACTTGAGATTTGTTGTTGCCTGGAGATGAAAGTTCTCCAGGATTTGCGAGAAGAGATCATGCTTCTCAATTTTGGGACAATCTTAAAATTACCAGTGGAGGTAGGAAGGGCTGTGATGGACCCCAGGAAACCAGAGCCTCTGTCTGCATGCAGCTACCTAAAATTTCTCATGGTAAACTGGGCCTCAGCTGTATCCACATCAGAGGGCAAAACCAAGACAAACCATTTCAAAGCACCCTCGATAGAAGCCGGTGGGTCTCAGGTTGTGGCTACAGAATTGTTGGAAGCCCCTGTGTGTTTTCGACACTAGGCCTCTGTCGCTGGAGATTCTGAGATAACTGATTTGGCGGCTAGTCTTCATCCGTGTTTTAAGCTGCATGGTTCCACCTGGATCTAAGCGCCAGCGTGTAAGCAGCAGTGGGCTGTCAGTCAGTGTTCCTTTGAAGAGCTGAAATCACACGTGTAGATTGGTGCTAAGAAAAATGTTCTTATGGATTGAGAGGCAAAAGAGCATCAAATTAGTTACTATTCGCTTAGCCAGCTTTTGTTTGTTTATTTGATGCCTTTCGAAACCTAGTCCAATATTAATCCAACAAATTATATTTGCTTGGCCAATTACAGCTTTACCAGGAGCTTCTTTACGAATAGTATAATGGTTTTAGGAGTATATGTGTTTGTTTGTTTTTTCAGGGGGAAAACAAGTCCGAGTATTTCTTAGGATTAACTCCGGTGGCCGTGGTTGTCTATAAGAATAAAAAACAAGTGGGGAAGTATTTCTGGTAGGTAAAATGTGGGGACAGCGTTAGAGTTAAAGTTGTGTAACTGTATACACTGGGCTTTGGGGAGCTTGTGTGCCAACAGGTTTGGCAGGGAAAAAAAAAAAAAACTTGTATCATTTCAGTAGTGAGTAGGAAAGTGGATGGAATTGGTTATAAGTTTACGAATCTGCTTCGTAACTTTCAGTTGTGGTCATTCTGGGCTCTCTCGTCCCCGGAACCATATAATGGGCTTCCCCACCCCCGCTCATGTGTGCCAGTGGACCATATATTCGGGGCTAACTGGAGTTTTAGCTCTAACTGGGGAGGGAGTGGAGAGATTGGGGAACTGTGGCCCCAGTGTATGTCTGGAAGGTGGGACCCTGAAGGCCAGGGGATTCCAAGCTTGATTGTGCATTAGTGGAGAAACGGGAGGGATATCCAGAGCAGAGGACATCCCCAACAGCACAGAGAAGAGCCTCTATCTCTCCATCTTTGTCTGCTGGATGCCTCTCCGGCTTTCTGAAAAATGAAGTGTCCTGGGAGCGGCGAGCACAACGCTGTCTGCTTTGTTTTCCAGGCCTCGGATTACGAAGGTGCACTTCAAGGAAACCCAGTTTGAACTCAGAGTCTTGGGGAAGGATGTAAGTTTCTGCGGGCATATAGCTTTACTGCGGGGGTGGGGGTTCTCATCTGCTCATTGGGCACCTAGAAGGCATTGTGAAGTGAGGCAACCATGCTTTCTTCAGCTGCAGCCACGTGGAACCACGTTAACTATGTCACACACACATTTCTGTGGAAGGGATAGGGAAGTGAGTGAGGTAGTGGAGGGGAAAATGTCTTTTTAGTTTTTAGCAAGAGAAAACAAAGCTCTCTGGGCAGAGTGGGGAACAGAGTGATCTACCTGCATCATCTCCGCAAGCTGCTTTTCAGTCCTGCCTGCGAGGGAGGGATTCACCTAAGCTGCAAGGTGTAGACTGTGTGGAACTGCAGAGGCGAACCTTCATTTTGCTCTGAAGTAAACAAAGCAGCCTGCTGGGTATCAGATGTTCTTAACTTGCTTTGTGTGATAGACAACTGGGATGGAAATTCTGGATGCTTTCAAGGGAGACCAGGAGTCAGGGGTGGGGTGGGTGGGGGGATGAGCGGGTGGTGGGTAGCTGCTGACCTCATAGCACCTTGGCAAGTTTGGGCACAGGGCACAGCGTGTGCTTTCACAGGTACACACCTTCACAGGTCGAGTTTAGAAGCTGGTCAAAGATGGCAAGGGTGCAAAAGATTCCTTTCAGCCTGTCTGTGAAGATGCTGCTGTCTCTTGTGCTGTTAGTGCCACCCGTGTGGGATAATCAGATGAAAGGGTGTTGGAGGAGGAATCCACCCCTCTGCCTCTTTTGATTTTTAACTTCGTGCAGAGTCAGACCGAGTATGGCATTGAACTGGCCCCTTTTACTCTCTCTTCATAACTTCTTTTCTTAGGCAGGATCTTGGTGTGTTTTCTTGTTTTGACCTCTAGCTGGGCAGCGCAGGGTAGCCTTGAACTCACAGCGGTCCTCCTGCCTCAGCTCCCTAAGTGCCGAGATTACAGGTGTGTGCTATCACAACAAGCTTTGAGTTGACCTTGTTTTGGCGCTAGAAACACTTTAGGTATAAGCCTGTGCGTATGTGACCACACACGGAGCCGCTGCCACAGCGGAGCAGCCCTGAGGGCTGGGGACATGTGTCCGTAGCAGAAGGTTTCATATAGACCACTCCTCCTTAATATCTGCTAAGTGGCGAATGGACCGATTTTAGAGGCGTACCACAAAGTCTGAAGCTCTGATGCTATCCGTTCGTTCTTCCTCTTGAGCAGTGATCCTCAACCTTCCCAATGCCACAGCCCTTTAATTATTTTTGTTGTTACCTCATAACTGTCATTTTGCTACTGCTATGAATCATAATGTAAATATCTGTATCTTCTGATCATCTTAGGCGACCCCTGTGAAAGGGGTCATTCAGTCCCTAAAGGGGTCGAGGTCCAGAAGTTAAGAACCACTGCTCTAGGGCCAAACAAACAAACAAACAAACCAAACCAAACCAAACAAACAAACAAAAACCCAAACTAAACAACAAAAAGGATTTGGCTGTTCTTATTGATGAAATTAAAATTGGGTTTTGGAGTGAATTTATGGGGATGGGAGATTTTAGGCCTTTCAGACAATGGCTCCCCCCTCCCCCAAAGTCACATACAAGCTTTTAATTACATAGTTTCTTTTGGTGGGGCATGGAAATTTTCGCTTTGTTTTTAACTGCTAATTAGATATGCCAGTGCAGCTGAAAAGATACACTAATGTATGAGTAAATTAACGTCATTTGAAAAGTAGAAAAGTTAGTTAGCTGGATTTTGTAGTTTTCCCCCCTCTTTTGCCAAAGGGTTCACATGACTTAATGCAAAGAATCCCATCTCCTAAGTGCATTAAAAATAATGTTTTGTAGGGGTGCTTGGACTCCCGTGGAAGTGTTCCTGTTGTTTAGAATCTCCTTCCTCTTAAGCCTAAGTTATTTTTGTGAGTTCCTTTATCTATCTATCTATCTATCTATCTATCTATCTATCTATCTATCTATCTATCTATCTATTTATGTTTGTATATATTCCCCCTTTAAAATTTCTTCTGTTAAGAAATTGTTGAAGTCGCCAGGGTTTGAACTTTCGGCTTCTTGAGCATCTCTGTTACCAGCCAAAAGCAAGGGCAGTGAGGTTGATGCCATTGCACCACCTCCCAGAGTCCGGCTCTGTGACACCAGATACCAGCCGCTGGGCTTCCTGGCTTTGAGATGGAACGGATGTTCCCACTGTCCTGGGTTCTTGAAGCCTGCATGTGTCAGTGACCTTTAAATAAGGTGCCAAAACTGGTCAGTTACTATGGCAGCTTTTCTCCTTATAGCCCAGGCTGGCTGTGACCTTGAGTTCCTGATTGCCCTCTTCTGCTTTCCAACCGAGGGGGTTACAGGTGTGCAAACGCCATGCCTCGTCCTAAATTTGTTATTAAATAGGCACATTAATTTAACCAAAACATTTCTATTTCCTGAGTGTTCTTGCTTGCAGCGCTTTTTTTTTTCCTTTCTCTCTCCACCAGGGTTCCTCTCTGTGAGTCAGTGATTTGCATAATGGTAGAATTAAGTTGATTATTATGGAGGCCTAACTCTAATCACAGATTGAATTAAAAAGCCCCTTAAAACCCATCACCTGGAACAGTAATCTCATTCAGCTTGAAAAATGGCTGAAATGCCTAGTCTGCTGGTTTTCTGGTCTGCTGGTCTGGTTAAAGAGACTTCGCTCCGGGCGCTCAGGGCTTTGAGCCCAAGTTCAGAGACACTTTCATGCGCTATAGACACTTCAAAGTGCACCGTGGTTTAAATTGCACCTCACAGAAAAGATAAACTCTGAATAAAGGTTTTGCATAGTAATGGTATAGGAGATGGGAAACACAACCCTAAAATTTAGAGGTTGATTGTTAACATTTTGGTATGATTGCTTGTACATTTTTGGGGTTCTGCTAGTGTGAATGTATCACGTGTTTTTTTATACACATAAAGAGATACTTCCTGTGTGTATGGCTGGGTACATCTTTTTAGTTGTCCTTGAGATAGAGTTGTACTCTGTCAACTGAATTTGGCCTGGCATCATGTCTTCTTGTTTCTGCCTCCCAACTGCCGGAGTTGTAGATAAGGACTCAGCATGTGTGTGCTTTTGTACTTAGTACTGCGTCATAGAGGTTTTCCTTCTTGTTATTTCCGTATATATTTGCCTGGACGACGAGAAAGAATTGGGAGTGCTTTATGTACGATGCACTGTGATACGGAACTCAGCTAAGTTTAGTGTCCCAGGATGTAAGGTCAAAAGGCCCCTGGCAACCCAACCAAGTGGTAGTAGGCCCTACTGGCAGAGCCTGGGAGAGCTTTGCGGAGCGGAGGCAGGAGGTAATGCTGGCTGGGAGTGGTCACTGTTGGTCAGCCCAACAGGTTGGTTTGTGTACACGGGTCTCTTCCACATAGTGAATACTATGTCACTCCGGCCCAGTTCTGTAAACGCCCTAATCGTGTCGCTTGGCCTGATCATATCTTCCGTGCGCCAGGCCCCCCCCCCCCATATTGTGGGCTTTGATTAGCTCCCTTCAGAGAACTTCTTTCTCGTTTGTGAAGTGGATGTTGTACACTGTGCAAACACTATCTTACCACACTGAAGCCAGGCAGAGCTTTCTTTCATGCCTCTCCGCTGTTTGGCGGTGAGAGTCTTACTCCCTCCCGGCTGTGTAGTCACGGCGGTGAGGTTGGATCTATCTCAGGGTTTCACGTAGGATGGCCATCTGCCCTTCTTGTCTGTTAGGTCTGATCTGCTGGCGATGATGTCACCTAATTTCTCCAGTGTTTAATTCCTGGTGTGAGCAGCCCCACCCCCAAGGTAGGAATTAAGCGGTCCACAGGGATGCACGGTAAATCTGTGCACGTCTCTCCTTGTCAGAATTCCCCTGCATATTTAGCGTTTACCAAGCATTTTGTCTAATCCAGTCTTTTATGGCGATGATGGGGCATGCTGGTTTTCTGGTTCTCCCGTCCCCTTCACATTTCTTTTCAGACCTCAGCATTCCACTGTAGGCAAGAGCCCTACCCTCTCTGCCTTTCATTTATTCATCTGTTTTGACATGGACTGACCACTTTTTCCCCCTCAATGATTTATGATACATTCCTTCACCTAGAGGCTTTGATGTTCAAGAATTCCTAGATTTAATTAATAGGAGCCCCCCCACCCCCCAGTCTGACCTCTGTGCTCCTAAACCTGTCTCCGTCATTATGTGGTACTTTTTATTGTTATTGTCAATTTTGCCCCCAACTTACGATCACCCACAACTCTAAAGATCCATGGTTCCCGGCAGTGGGAAATGGTCCAGATCTTGCAGCAAGGGGCGATTACTACTTCTTGGTGACTTTTCTGCCTGAGCTTTTCAGTGGCCAGAGCTAGAGAATCTCTGCAAGCATACATTCAAACACTGCCCCAAATACACATACATGATGTAAATGTATACATATGTGTGTTTTAAGTGTATACTGTACTTGTATATAGTTTAGAGATTATGGGTTTGCATCATGCACGCCTCTTTCTTACCTTCCTCATGTCCTTCCTTTGGCCTTTAGAACCTTTGCTGCCAGCGCCTGCACATTTAGTCATTTGCTTATTCCTAAATTATGTATCAAATAGCTTTAGAGTTGCTTTGGTCGGAACACCGAAACTGTAATTCTTTCATCCACATGTGAGGACCAAGGACCTGTGCTGTCTTGTGTTCACAGTTTACTTGGCTCACCCTCCCTCCCTTCATTCCTTTCGTCCTTCTTCATTGCTGTGGTTGTATATACCCTCACAATCTAATTAGGTTTATTTATTTCCAGTTATGGTTCCTTGTGCCTTACATTCTTGCTTGCTTAAGTCTATGTTTTAAATATGTGGACGACTGACGTTCTTCCAGAGGTTGAAACTGTACAGAAAGATAAACTGAGAGGAACGTCGCAAATACCCGTGCTCTTTCAGGCCTTTTCTTGCTCGTCCTTGAAGCTATTCAATTTTAATCCTTTTCAGTTTGTTTTCCCCATGGCTTTTTTTTTGGGGGGGGGA